GGAGAGCTTGCCAAATCGACGAGTTGTGCATCCAAATCAGCAAATCGACGGGGGGCAAAGAGTCCGAGGTCGCCTCTGGGTTCTGTCGACGGGGACTGAGCTCGAGGACTGGCGATGGGTGCTGGCGGCGGAAGCGGCGCTCCTTCTGTCTACACGAGAGGCGAAGAAGAGAATGAACTGAAGAATCTGAATTAGGGTTGTTTGACAGCACGACATTTTCCTCTTTCCTTCCCGTTTTTAATAAAAAACCAACCGGCCGAAATGGAAAGCCGAGTGTTCGGCTCGAGCGGCCCGGGCGGTTAACCGTCCCGGCCGCTCGCCGACCGCCCCAAAAACCCGTTCCGGCTAAATAGCTGTGCCGAGCCGGTTTGACAGTCGGGTGACGGTTTTACCGGTCCGACCGGCCGGCTCGGCCCGGCTTTGATAGCACTGTAAAAAACCCTCCAATATAGCAAAATAATCCCGCCACTCCAAATTGGTTTTGATTTTGAGAAAATCTAAATCCTTTTTGGCTCCAAAGTTTTGCTTTGGCCCGCCACTACTTTTGGTCCCTGAAATTGAATAAGGCACACAGATACTAGCTAGAGAAAACTCGACCTAAAGAAAAATAATGAAAGATTGAAAGTCAATTCTCTTCCCCTCTTTCTACGGTCTGTTCCATGGCTAGTTCCTTCGCCGGACCTTCCTCAACACCTGCTGCCAAAATCCTTGAGCCTTCTTACTGCTCGACTCAAGCCTCGAAGCTACGGTGTTCCAATTTGTTTTACCCAGCTTCTCCTCAAATCCTCGTTAAATCTATATCAATGTGTCCTCTAACTAGGGTTCTCTTTCAACAAAGTCGACTTCTTGAATATTGATCTCTGAGTCTCAATTTGTTTTCGGGATTTTGTTTCCCAAATGTCTTCTCCACAACTTCATTTCCCCTCTCAGTTCGACCGAAGCCCGGAAATTGATGGTGCCAAATTTGGGTAAAGTTCATTCGTATATTTTCTTGTTCTTTTTTGAGGGCAGCGTGTTTGGTTTGTTGTAAGGTGGAAGTCTTGCTCTTTTTCTGGGTTGAGTCTGCATGTTGAGTTACTCTGTTGCTGTTCTTGAGCTTGGTTTCACGGTTTGATTGGCGTTGAGACTTTATTGGGTGAGGATTCTGTGGGCACTTAAAAGCTTTAATTGTTGTGGATGACTTGCTTATGCTAACTTGTTTAAGAAACCGGATTTGAAGTTTTGAGATTGTTTACTGGTATTTCATATTTGTGTACTTGGTAGTTTATGTTTCCCTTTAAACACCAGTTGGGGGTTTGCTGATTTGCTTTGTGTTTATTGTTTCTTAGTTATGTTGGTTCGGTTCTAGGTTTGTCCTGGTTTAGGATTGATGCACCCGCACCCCCTTATTGTGCATTTTGTGGATATGCTAGGCTTTGTTAACTAACGCATTTCTGGTTCTTGCTGCTTTCTATCTAAGCTTTCATTCTAGTTGCTGTTGCTGTGTTGCGAGATCAGTGAGCCACAGAAATGGGATCTTAAGTCTGATTGGAAGAAAGTGCTCGTTTGTTTTTCCAGAACAGAGGAAATGTGAGTTGAATCTGTTTATTGTTCTTATCGGTCTCAATTTGCGAGGCAGAGGTATGTAAACTTGATTGAGTTTTGCTTACTGGGTTTGTTACATTAATATAGGGAACTCTTTTCATCGAATCCTTTTCTGATACGAGCAGATTTCTCCTGCCTTTATGAGAAAGTATTATTGTAATTAGCACTAAACAATTTTGTAGTTTCAGTGTGTTAGTGCTTTTGCTGGGTTAGTCACTCTGAAGTTAGGTTCATTTCACTTGTACATTATAGATGTGGTTCCTCACTTTAATTGGGGAACATTGGCGCCTTCCTCTCAAATGTAAAGTTTGCCACAAACCTTGCTATAAGTTCAATCATGTTATCATGTTAGTTGCTTCTTGCTTGATTGATTATGTAATTTTTTTTTTCGTTTCTTTTTTCTGAAGTAATGGAGTCAGGGTTAGAAGAAGCAAAAATTGGGAGAATTTTCACTCAAGTTGAATCAGAGGAGGAGGTCAAGCTTCAATGCATGAAGGTTTTTGGGTGTTATCAATTATCCTAATAAGATTAATGGAGTCTTATGTACTTCACATAGTTTCATTTTTTATAAGGGACTTCACATGGTTTCACAGGTTTATGATCGAACAAGTTGTCAGTTTTAAATTTCTTGTTGCTCAACTATTTATTTCTGTTGGTTTTGTAACCTTGATGAATATTTTGCTACTTACCAACAACTAGCAACATTCAACTTGTTTGTGATATATTCAAGCAAAATCTAGCCACTCATTTGTTTAATAATGGACCTTCATGTTTTTCATTGCAAAATGGTGACTCGGTAAGTTTGTTTTAAATTAGTGTATTAACTAATTATTAAAAAAAAAACTCGGTGGTTTGTTTTGGACCGAACAACCCGCAGCTCGACCCGTTTGCAACCCGCAATTCGATCAACCCGAACCCGATTGATTCTCAACCCGATTAACCTGTAACCCGATTGATCCGCAACCCGACCAACCCGAACCCGATTTGCCCGCAACCCGATTGACCCGCAATCCGATCAACCTGCAACCCGATCAACCCGAACCCGCTTGACCCGCAACCCGCTTGACCCGCAACCCGATTAACCCGCAACCCGATTGAACCCGACCAGAACCCGCCCGAACCCGCCCGATTGACACCTATACACACAACCAGCCTTGTTTGTTGGAGCCATCATGTTTAGTTGGTGACTTCTTACACATGTCCCCTTATCCACCCCTCGTGGTTGGTGACATGAAATTACCACTCATAGACAAGGACTTACCCCCATGTCCACCATTAGTCATGCTCTTATACTTATAATAGCCATGGATGGCCTGAACAAGTTGTGACTTCTTAGACATGCCCTTTGTCTAGACTTGACCAAACTACCATGCTTATCATAACCATGTATGGCTTGGACTTCATGTACCTTCTTGGACCTGCCTTGTCCATACTTAGCTAAAATTTCAGATTCATAAAATATTTTGTTGCTTTCTTACGTCGTGACTTATTGGATATGCCTCCACATCCACTATCTATGATTGGTGGCATGCCCCTCTGTCCAAACTTAGCCATATTAGCATGCTTATCACAATCATATGAGTAATTCATCCTTTCACAAGCTCTAAACAAGGCAGCTCGCGAGCTTAGCTCAACAAGCCACTGAATCAAGCTAGCTCGCGAGCTTATCAAGCTGAGCATGGTCTAGCTCAAGCTTGGCTTGTTAACTAACGAGTTGGCTCGCGAGCTAGCTTTTTAAATGACGAGTCGAGTGTCGAACGAATTTTCCCCGATTCGAACGCCGAGTTGCTCGCGAGCGGCTTGGCTCATTTGCAACCCTAGTCTATACCATATGGTATTGACTGGTATTGAAATAAGAGCATACCTATGGTTTGAAAAGCGTACCATGGTGGTATGACACAAACCAAAACTGTAGGATGATTGAATACATGATAGTAGAAGTATATTAATTGTCATTTACGACTTTTAACATTGTATACCATAAGATACCATAAGATACCACCCCGTACCAGGGTGGTATTGTATGGTATTGTGTGGTATTTTTTTGTCTTCTAATTTGTTCACACAGAAATTTGTACATCCAATAGATAATGATGAACTCGTCCCTGCTGTGCAAACGTTTTTAAAAACGAATTAAAAACGAAGAAGATACCATATGGTATGCAGTTGGTACCGAGAGGCCAGAATTTTTTTTTCCTCAAAAAATATTGAAAATTGATCTCATTTTGTAGAGCACGATGAACTCGTTCCATCTGTGCAAAAAAAAATTAAAATCCGAGTTAAAACGAAAAAGATATGAGTCAATTAAGAAAGCTAGTGAAAATAAAAATGACATTTAATTCTCCATCTTTAGATCTGAATTTTCTAAATAAAGGGTCCAGATTTGGTTATTGATGGGTGCATAACCCATGGTTATGCACCCTAACTTGAGCCGAAGATATATATGATCCAGGTACTTTCTCTCTTTTCATTCCATACATTAATTAGTTTCCTGACTTCTTCTCGTAAGACTACAGAGCACATAGTTGAGACATATTCACTGAGGTAATGTATTAGAAGATTCTGAGTTGCTTAACTGCTGCTTTTTTAACCTCGGATTTTTTATTCCCCGTTCGTCAATCAATTGAATTATAATGCTTCTTGAATTCCTGCTATTTACCATGCTATGGAAAAACATGATATTTGCATCCTCGCCATTGATCCACATATGTCTAGATAGTAAATTGTTCTTTAGCCTTTTGTAAATCTAGAAACTGAAGAATGCATTAAAAAGTCAAGGAGGTAGGGCGCTCCAAGGCTTCTAATTGAGTCACGAAAAGCTTAATTTGATTGTGTTGCCACTCTTTCACGAGTGCTAGAATAGTGAGTCCTATTTAACGTCTTTAATATGATCTTTATTTGCTTCAATTTTAGACACGGTCAGTACATTCTGGAACCTCCTATTTTACATGTTGCCATCCTTCTGTCACTAGTCTATCATACCTACGGCGAAGCCTCTAAAAATTGAATTACTTCTAACAACTTTTATTATGATTTTACCATGATACATTTATAACTTATGAGTATGCTTTGAACCCTAAGCATTTATAGTTTACTATCATGATCCTACCAATTTGATTTATTATTCTACTTTCACAAAGATTTCTTTATCACTAAGTCAATTGTTTCAAATGTAAGGAAGAAGTTTATGGCTTTTAAAGTCCAATTCAACTCTCATCTACGTTTAGTAGATAATCAATTACATGATGAGAATGAATTATAACTTGAAACATCAATTAAACTATTGGTAACAAACACTTTATATAACGACACGTGAAGCAATAAACCAAATAACCTTCCTCGAAAGAGATCCATACACAAGTTAGAGAAGCCAAATAACCAGAAAATTAACTTCCACACACAATCATGCATCATAATCAGTTCACCAAGGCACAACGTTGCCTAATCTCCCCTTCGCTTCCTGTGAGGACACCAATCCTACCCATCTTCTCCATTGATTTACCAAAATCCCTACCAAAAGTTGCCCCAGCAGCAGAGGTGGACTGGCGTTTGACATAAGCTCGAGTTGCATGATCATCAAGAAGTGCTGCATCAGAGATAAGGAGACCTCTGTTCTGCCTCACAGCTTTGTAGAAATGTGCATCAGAAATCGTGGAACTTCCTTGGTCCAGCTCGAAAACTGGGAGGATGCCACCAGGCTTGCATTTCTTCTTCAGTTCGGAGGCAAAGGTTGGATCCAGGGCCGGATCGGTATCGCTTCTCCCCGTGAAGTTGTATAGTCTAGTATTGATCGTCAAACAACTTGCAGAACCAATGGTGTGCGCTCCTAAAAGCGATAGGATAAAGAAAGATCGTTTGTGAGTAAATGGGATTAAGATCTACTTCTGTAATTTTTTGGTTATTTAGTGACGTGGTGGCATGTACATGTGTTTCATAAAAATGTCATGAGAGTTAGACAGCGCAAGTGACATTTGAGATCATACGATCGAGTACTTCAAATCAATAGTTAAACAATTTTATGTTTTTATCAAAAACTATCCTTGTTGGACGTACTAGTGGGACACGTATTGTTCAGTTTAAAAATTGTGCGAGCCTCTGAACTTAAACCCTAGTAATTTTCAATTGTAACAGGATTTTAATAATTATTTAAGAGGGTTAAGCATGTTGAAAATTTGAAGCCTTTTCACATATTTTAATTCCTGTAACAGCGGTAAATTATCATAACTAATTTTACCTGACAAGACAACCAAGTCTTTCTTAGTTAGACCCTTCGATGCGAAGTTTTGCTTCAGTTGAGTTATGTTGAAATTTGAGAATGGCAAATTTGCGTCTATTTCCTTGCTGAGTGAGATTCTTCCATCTCTACGTCCGGTTTCAACTTTCCAAAATAATCCACCGGTCTGAAAATAGAGAGAGAGAGAAAAAAAAAGAGAACATACATAAATAAATAAAAAATCAAAACAAAAAATATTAAAAACATACGTAAAAAGTACAATAATTCCAAAGATGAGCCTGAAACAATACCAGTTGAACCGCATCACGAGCAGCCAGGGCCAATATATCGGCACAGGAAACCACACCAGGACAACTCTTCTCAATCGCAGACTTCACATCATCGATCACGTCGAACCCTCTCAAGCTCAAGTTCAGAAATCCATCTTTCTCGGCGCCACCTTCCTTTGTTGCATTCAAAAGCACTGATGCCTCGCACCCCTTCAAAAAGAAAATGCACATTAATTGTAATTAACGTCAATTGCATATGTCAATAACGTCTTCTGTTGCGATTATGTGAAAAAAACCCACATAAGAGCATGTAACTAATAACTTACTCGAACGAAGCAGTCATGGAAATGGAGCCTGAGCAATGCGGCTGCAACGGTCACGTCCTTGGAGATGGCCTTGCGAATAGTCTTAAGAGCTCTGGTCTCTGCATCAGGGCAGCTCTCATCGTAGTAACCGGTTCGCAAACCGGCTCCATCGACCCGGTTCAGGCCTGAAACAGCGAGAAGTACTAGCTGAATTAAGAAAATCGACAAAACCCTTTTCTGAACCGCCATATCTCTGTGTGTATGATTAAAGGCAGAAGCTAAAGTATGTATCTTCCTATACGGTTTCAGTGGTTGCAATGAAAGGGTTAATTACTTGTGCTGCTGTTTATATAGTTGAGTGGAATTAATTACAACCACCCGTGATGACAGCCGTCTTTATGGAAGGATTAAGATCTACGAATTAACTAGCTACCACGATGCCAATTGGATCCTGTTTGGAGATGTTCTGTTATCTTCCAGTTGAACAATTCTATCGATTATGTGTTTAAAAAAAAAAACTCTGATGCCTTCGTCTAGGAACTAACTTAATTATTCGTACAATATATTATGTTGTATGGGAAGAGGCCTTCCAGTCTTGTAATGCTGCTATAAATTAGAGGTCGAACAAACACATGGAGCCAAGTTTAGCAAACCGGAGCTCAGAAAGATTGCCACTTAGCTTCTTTTTTCTTTCCTGTTTTGGTTTCTCTAGCTTCTTTCATTGACTTCTTTGGACAGCCGGCTCCATGACTTCGTTGCATGCATCTTGTTGGCGTTATCGATCGCGAGAATATATACAGCAAGTAATGGTAAGTGAAAGTGACCAAGGTCGAGATTGCTCAACTTGGCTCAATTATGGTGATAGATGAATTCATGTGTATATTATATTTTCTGGTTTCCCATTAGTTACAAATAGCATTCTCTGTGATGATGGTAGAAGAATTTGAACCAAGGATCCCATTGAGTAAAAATTCATATCAAATCCATCAAATTTAGTGCAAGATTTGGAGTTATGTGAGGTACTATATAGATTAATTACGTGGAATTTAATTTGGATGGATTAGTTTAGTATAGACCAACTTCAAGTGTGGCTCTCAAACTTAACAACTTCCCTACTAGATACCCACTTTTTATCCTCATTTCACCTTTTTACTCCAACCATACAACTCTCAAATCTAATACCCTCACATTTTTCTTTTGATTTGTATGATATAGGGGTCGTTTGCTTCGTGGATTTGGATGATGGATTTGGTACCCAAATCCATTTCATCCTGGATTTAAAGAAAGTCGATCATTTATTTGCATTTCTTTTGGGGACCAAATCCATGGGAGCAACGAATTTTAATGGTCCAAATCCATGGACCTCACGTACTTGTAAATCCATGGATTTGTAACATGACATAAATTCATAATGAGATTTTACTCATATACCCTAATGAACTTTTAAAATTTTAAGGTTGCCCTCACATTTACCTATTGTCCATTTTAAATAATCACTTAATTAACAACAAAGAAATAATATAAATATTCAATTAGTGTGCAAACATTAGTTAGATGTAGGAAACCTATTTTTAGGGTTCCAACGATTGTGTTCGGAAATTGGGAATTGGTAGAGATTTAGGGATTTAGAAGGGAATTAGGGATTAGGAACAGAATTGGGGAAGAACAGAAGGGAATCGGCCTAGGCCTTTAGAGGGATTGAGATCGAGAATTGGGAAGATAGGGAGATTAGGGTTTAGGAGATTCTTTGATAATTCTTTCTTGACTGATCATAACATAGACTCAAAGTACATATTTATAACGAAAGACTGGAAAACCCTAACAATAAACCTAATTCTATTAAATGACTATTAACCTTATTGATAATTACCCTAATAATAATTATATTAATAAACAGAGAAACCCTACAGAAATCAGTTTCTAACATCTCCTCTCCCTTCAGACCAACCTTGCCCTCAAGGTTGAGGTGAACTTCCGCTCTCTTGACCTTCCACCTACTTCGCTTCCAATTGCGCTTAATCCCACGATTGAATTCTTCTTCAGCAACTTCAATGCCTCTCTCTCCCACCACGTGACACATGTCACGTTCTCCATTGTCAAACAATTCTTCCTCCTTTCTTTCGAAGTCCACAAAATAAGAATCAGATGAATTTTCTTCTTCCTTGTGTGTGTCATCATTAAACACCTTAAAATATTCAATGAATTGTTCAATTGATTTCGTCTCGTGCTTGGTGGCGGTGAAGACAAACCACCCTTCTCTTCCTTTACCTTGGACTCTGCCTGTAATTGGTTGGGGGAAGGAACCGTAGCACAAGCCAATATTAGGCTCCACTTTACACCACTCATCTCCAAACTCAATTGGAGCTGGTCTCTTTAGAAGCCCACCCGCCAGACACTTAAGCCCACTTGGTTGGGCTAATAAAACTCGGCCCAAAGAGGGGAACACCGGCTGCTGTGGTGGTCCCACTGCTACGGCCCTAGTGTTTGCGAAAGGAGAGATACCTCCCCCATTCACATGAATCACATCCCAAGTCGGCGGCTCCTCTGCCTCGTTCTCCGCCGGCGACTCGTCCGCCGGCTTCTTCCCCGATCTTTCCTTCGGCGTCGAGCGGCTTCCTTGGCAGCTAGGTAGATCCGCCGCCTCATTCATCGGTGGCTCTTCTCTCCTCGATGGCGACGAGTCAACCCGGGTGTTCGTCATCTCGGCAGTCAACGCCCAGGCTGGGGCTAGCGTCGATTGCAGCGTCGGAGGACCTCCTTGCATGGCCGGCAAAGAAACCCAACGATCCTGCTTTGATTCTTGTCGTCGAATGACGGCAACGGAGCACTCCTCCTTCGCGATACCCTCTGCAATGACCGTCAACCCATGACCGTCTTCTTTCTCCTCTCCGGTTGGTCGTGAAGGCGCGGTGCTTATTGCAGCTTTGTCAGCGGTGATCGTCATCTCCTGGCCTATGGCAGGCGATCGGATCGTTGATGACGTTGGTGAAGCATAGAGACGGGGCGTCGCATTTGGGCCGGCGCCAGACAGCTCGACCGCCGGCTCTTCGGGCAGCCAACGGCGACCGATGCGACGGGCTCTGTCCCGCAATTCTGCCCACGACAGGTTCGAGAGCTTTGAAGAGCTCATCGTCGAACCAGTTGTAGAACTCGTCCCCGGTTGAGAGTTGTGAAAAACTCAATTTTCGAAACCGGGCTCTGATACCAGATGTAGGAAACCTATTTTTAGGGTTCCAACGATTGTGTTCGGAAATTGGGAATTGGTAGAGATTTAGGGATTTAGAAGGGAATTAGGGATTAGGAACAGAATTGGGGAAGAACAGAAGGGAATCGGCCTAGGCCTTTAGAGGGATTGAGATCGAGAATTGGGAAGATAGGGAGATTAGGGTTTAGGAGATTCTTTGATAATTCTTTCTTGACTGATCATAACGTAGACTCAAAGTACATATTTATAACGAAAGACTGGAAAACCCTAACAATAAACCTAATTCTATTAAATGACTACTAACCTTATTGATAATTACCCTAATAATAATTATATTAATAAATAGAGAAACCCTACAGAAATCGGTTTCTAACATTAGATTTTATTATACTCTTTCTTGTGTTCTAGTTTCCTTTGGCCTTTTCACGCAAAGTATAATTCTTTGTTCCCTGGTTCTAATATATGTTGCTATATGTTATTTTTGAAAAGAAGGACAGAGAATTTGACACCGATATATGTTACGACATACGTGAAAAGTTAAACGGAATTTCATGTTTATTATTATTACACTTGTGACAATATTATGCTTATTAGTACGTATTGTCTTTGTTTTGTGTACATATTGTTCGGAATAGTGCTATCATCGCAATTGCCACAGTGCAAAAAGCGGTTCGCCGCGATTGATACGGAGTTGGCCCTTTCTGCCGTGGCTGACCCCCAGCAGGCAACGGAGAACCATCTCTCGCCGCTCAAGATAACGCCTCGGGAACAGACACAACTACTCTGGCAGACCCGTCTTGTCGCATTTATTGGCCACCTAACCTGTAAAACACTCTACATATGATATTTACTCCCCCCCCCCCCCCCGACAAAGGATCATATTTTCTCTCTCCCACCATTTATCACTCTTTCTACTTCTCTCTTCCAGAATTACTCTCCCAACTACGAATCTCGTCGACCGTCTCTCTCGTCGGAGTGATCATCGGAAACCCGTTTCTCATGCCGGCCTCGCTACTACTCTCTAGCCCTACACAAACACATATCATAAACATGACAAACAAATAGAAAGGATAGTATTGTAATTTTGGACTTTAAGTTCTGAATTCCAAACCCTTAAATCCATGATAAAACATTTCAACAAACAAAAGATTGTTACAAATCCATAATGCCTTAAATCCTTGATAAAATGTTTAGGTTTTTAAATTACAAAACACTCATTTTTAAATCCATGAAGCAAACGACCCGATATTATATACTTAACTGCATTCAAATTAATCCTTTTCAATTTAGTTTTCTCATACTTCATCATTATTATTTTAAAGAAATCTGTCAATGTATTTTTGTTAATTCTGGACATAACTTTTTCAATGAAAAAATTAAAGAAAATTGATAAAAATACAAAATATGGTGTTGAAATTTTACAAATATCCCAACAAACACATAAAATGCTTAATTTAATTAGCACTACATAATTAAAATAAACGACTCATAAAAATGAAAGGAAAAACAAGAACGGTAGGTTTTTCAAGTAAATTTTGTGTTTTGTCTTTGGTTTTTCTCTTCTCTCTTTTTTGTTTGATTTTAATATTGAGTTTGCTTTTGCTAGTACTCTTTTATCCACATTGGAAAGTCTTAAAATGACAACAATTGATATCAGAGCTTTGATAACCAATTGAAATATTTGACAAGATGACTGCAAAACTTAACATTGAGAAGTTTGATGGCATGTAAGGTATCATTATCGATATGAAATATTCAATTGAAGCTGATTTTGATGCTTAATGGTATTCGAAAGGCTTTACTGGATCTCAAAGCCAAACTAGAGACTTTGATTGATGCAATAGGAAGAGCTCAATGAAAAGTCTCTTACCGCTATTCAATTATGCATTTCATAATCGCTTTTGCAAGAAGTGGTGAGTGAGACTACTTTAAATGGACTATGGAAAAAATTAGTCACTTTACTTGACGAGAAAGTCTCACTAACAAGCTTAATCAAAAAGCGAATTTGTACACTACTCTTATGCATGGCTAGAGGTACTCCAAT